ATAGATTTCATAATATTTGGATTAATAATATAACGAAATTATATAATAATAGTATAAATTATAATTTTACAAGTTATTAAATTCAATAAATAATTAATATTTTAAAAATATAAATAATGACATTATTTGAATAACTAAACAATAATGCAAATAACTATTTTTTAAACATGCTAAATATAAAAAGTTTAATAACTAAATCATGTTTTGAATATTTATTAAAAAGTATGTTAAACAAGGAAATTATGTAATAAGTTTAAAAACAATTTATTATTAATAATTTTAAAATATTTATTATATATTTGTATATACTAAAATTAATATTTAGTACATTTCCAGTAATTATTTATTGTATTTGTGATAAATATATTTTTAATAATTATGTATAAATCTGTTTTTGTTTTGTTATTTAACAAAATTTTCAATAATTATTGGATTTTAAAATATTAATATTTAACTTTTAGATTTTATTTTTTGTACTTATTGGATTTATTGTATTTTTGTTATAATTTATTGATTAATATTTGTTAGAGATTAAACTATTATTGGATATTACACTATTTATTGACTAATTTGATATATTTATAGTATTTTCATAATTATTGTATTAATTGTATATTTATTAGTTATTTGTTGTATTTTCATTATAAATTTATTTTCAATAATTGTGTATTTTCGCTATAAATTCTCGACAGTTATTGGGGATTAAACTATTTCTATTTATTAGAGACTAAACTATTAATTTAAATCAGGAGTGTTCATGGGTCATTTCAGTTTGGTTGAAGGTTGTTTGGTGAACTAAACCAACTTGGTTGGATTGGGGGCTTGGACTAGGTAACCCAATAGGTTGGCCTAGCTCGACCCATTCAAAATTGGGCTTGGAGCCTTGGACAATGTTTTAAGCCCATAGGCTTTTAAAATCAGGCTCGACTGTTTTTTGGGCTAGGCTCGAGCTTTCCCAAATAAGTGCATTGCAAGCCCAACCCAATAATATTATATATAGTAAAAATATAATATACATTAATAATACACAATATATATATTTTATAATAATAAAATGAGTAGTGAAAATGGTATTAAATATTATAATATATAGATAGAATATTATAAAATATGTAATATATTAATATAACATAAAATATTTATCTAGATTGGGCTTCGGGCTTGGACTCAAGATCTAGGCTTGATAGTCGAGCCAGACTTGGGCTCAGGCTTGGTCATTTTCTATTAATAAAGAAGTAAAGCCCATCTCACTCCTACCCATGTACAAATCTACCTGAAACCGACTGACCATTAGTAAAAATTGACCTAATTCAAGTGAAGTTAGATAAAGTTGTTTGGTTTCATCTATTTCATCAGTTTAATGAACTATCATAGCTGAAACTAATTATTGTTATTTTTTTGTATTGTAAAAAAAAAGAAAAACTAAAAGTATTATATAAAATATAAATAATTATTAATTATTTAAAAATGAAAATATAAAACAATTGTATACTCTTATGTATTTGTATCGTTTAGCTTTCGCTTAATAAAGTCCATATGATCCACGGGCCCCATTAGTATATATATATATGTTATATATATAATATTTTATACACAAATGATAAGATATTAAGGCCTGAATTAGGCATGACCCACAGGACTTACGTTTCACGCCTGAAACCCGGCGCCCGGACTGGGGCCCGGTCCATGCCCAATCTATAATGCTTATCATAAGCCGCACGGGCCATGATCAACCCAGCCCCCATAACCCATACCAATAAATTGGATTTTATTTCTTTCTTTATTTATTTTTAAGCTTTCTAGATCCCACCTGGCATGAGTTGAAATCACCCCCCACAATATAACTTCCCACAGGCATCATCGGGAGATGTTTTCAATTCACGACGGGATGTGCTGTGGGATGTTGTGGGGGCTGATTTATCGGAGGCTGATTTGAACTCACCTGGCATAATACAGATCTCCCGAGTTCGCATCACCGTCCCACCGTGCTTCGCCCCACAAACGCCTCACACGACGTGTGACTGACACCTGTCCAGTCACACGCGGTGGGGCATTCCCGCATGTGACGCTAACGTGACGGACTTTGTCCCAAAACCAATTCAAAAGTGCTGGAGCGCGCCCCCTGAAGCTCTTTTCCCATGTTCGCGCTCCCTGGGGCTTTGATTTTTTTCATTAAACCCTGTTTGATGTTTTGTTTTTCTTTGACTTTTTTTACCCTCTTCCACATCTCTCTCCTGCCACCGTCACCAGGTGTGGTTTTTCATTTCAAGAAACCAATGTTTTATGAAGAAAAAACTAAGGAGTGACGCCCCTGCATGTCTTTACTGTGTCTTTGTGCGCACACAACTTTGGAAACTATAAGAGAAAAGACAATCAAGTCGAAACAGGTAAATAGATTTCCTCTTTGACCTCTATTTTTCTCTCTTCATTAAGGTAGAGAAGACGGACTGAAAACAATGGAGAGTGATAGGAAACAAAACTGACCCCATGCTATCCGAAAAGAAGATTTCTCATTTTCTTGGCAACCAAAAGCAGATCAGAGAACCAAGTAATGAAAACGCCAATGGGAGAAATACTTCTCCAAGAATATTTCATATAAGAAGAAAGTATGATATAAGTAACAAATACCAGTTTTTTTATTCATGATATTCTGAACTTCTGCAACAAATAAACAAGAATCTCTCTCTCTCTCTAGTTGCATTTTTTTCAAACAATAGTTTATGAAGCTTCGTATTATGTTATTTTAATCTGCAAAATAGTCGTGCGATGCTGAGATTGATGATACCTTATTGAATGAACACCATGAAGAGAAGGTTCAATATATCTGTCAGCATATACGTATACTTGCTCTATCAAGAAGCAGAGTCAGATTTCTCAGAAGGAAGAAGAAGAAAAAGATTCTGAYATGGGTTTAGATTAATATGGTTTTTTGTTTAATCACCATCATGTCACTTTAGATCTTATGAAACCCATGATTTGATCTGGGTCTCCAATCCATGTGAMACTACTGTTACCATGTATTAGATAAGATTGAAGATTCTGCTTGCTATGTGACAGTAACCGTAGTTCTGTTGGATTCTTTAAACTACTTCAAAACAGTCGTATTTATCATGTAGATGGAACATTAATAAGAAGTGTTGATATTGCAGATTGAAGCATCGGGTGCCTGATTGTAGTGGGCTGTACCAGCATGGAGACTACTTTTTGGCTCATCAAAGACTAGCTATTATTGATCCTTCTTCAGGGGACCGGCCTCTGTTTAACTAAGACAGGAAGATAGTTGTAATGCCCTGCTTTAGGCTAGTTAGTTGGACTATAGCTAAAGAGGGGAGAGAGAGAGAGAGTTCATAGCCATAGCCAAACAACATTTGTACCAAATCATACAAATTAATAATAAAGTGTTTGAAAATTCAGCTTTCTTTATCTGTACCAAAGCATACAAATTAATAATAAAGTTTGAAAATTCAGCTTTCTGTATCTGTGCCAAAGCATACAAATTAATAATAAAGTTTGAAAATTCAGCTTTGTGTAGCCATAGCCAATCACTGCACTATTTTCTCTTTTTCCTTCTGTCGTTTTTTCCTAAGCTGGATGGAGTTCATAACCATAGCTAAAACCTGTAAACCAAACAACTTTCTAAGTGAGTTTTTAATAGCCATTGCATAATAAAAAACTTGAATGCAGTTCTAAGTGTAACATTCTTTTAACCATAAGGACACCTGCCACATGTCCTGAATAAGCCCTTTCTCGTGACATTCTTTTAAATTATAAATTCAAACTTTGAGAATATCTAATACACCCAGCTAAAATGTATGGCTCACATATTTCGGGGAAGTAAAACATGGTCAATCAGGAGGGTCCCTTAACAGGAGTTGTCTAGAAAATGAACCTACAAACACCATAAATTTAAAAACACACAAAGTCAGGGGCACCATCAAGTTGCAAAGTCATCATGAGCAAGAACTAAGGTTATTATCCTTTCAACCACATGTCCTGAACTAAGGTTTTTCTTTTCTGTTATACATTATTTGCAAATATAAATCAGTATAGATTGAACATCTGTTTTTCCATCATCTGAGCATAAAGAATGATTAATGGATTAAAAATACCCTACACTCACTGTCTGAACATGAACCCAAGTGTGAACCCAAGTCTGAACATGAACCCAATTCTGAAAAAATGATTAATGAATCACCTGACTGATAAACTACTTAACATGCTAGCCTAAGGCATCACTCCTTAGTTTTTTCTTCATAGAGCATTGGTTTCTTGAAACGAAAAACACTCCAACACCTGGTGACGGTGGCTGGAGTGATCGCCGGTGCCGGAGAAGGAGGTGGAAGAGGGTGAAAAAAGTCAAAGAAAAATAAAACATCAAAGAGGGTTTAATGGAAAAAAATCAAAGCCCCAGACAAAAAATAACGGTTAGAGCTTAACTGGTGACCGGAGCGTTCGCCGGTGCCGAAGATGGGAGCGGAGATCCGAGCTCGGGCAGAGAACGGGGGTCAAAGCTTCTCCTCCGATTTGAGCTTCAGGAGGGGCGCGAATATGGGAAAAGAGCTTCAGGGGGCGCGTTGCAGCACTTTTGAGTTGGTTTTGGGGCTAATAGGCGGGGCTAACGTCCGTCACGTTAGCGTCGCACGCGGGAACGTCCCACCGCGTGCGACTGGACAGATGTCAGTCGCACGTCGTGTGGAGCGAAGCGCAGTGGGGCGGTGATGCGAACTCAGATCTCCCGCAGGACAACATATGTGTGCCTGCCTGTGCATTGTGATCATCCCATGAATGGCAACATATAATTACGTGAGGTGTTTTCAATGTGTGGCTGTAATAATGTGTGGGCAGGGTGGGTATGGTTCATGTTGGCAGGAGATTGAACACCTCCCAGACGAACACATTCGTTGTAAGATGACGAAAATGCCTATGTTTGCAAGGAAATATTTCAGAATCGAGCCCAAGCATGTCTTCATGGTTGCACTACCGTATTCCGCCTCATTTCCTCAACGACAAGAACCGAAGAACGAACGAAAGTACTGGTGGGTGTTCATGTCCGTGCTTCGATCGCTCTGAAGGGACCGAATTCCAGTCTAAACATCTCGATCCCTTGTTATCTTCTCTGCCTCCGAAACCCTAACTTATAAACTTCTGCTCTTCTTAAGGTAATCCTAGAGAATTTCATTATTCTGCTTTTCATTCCCGTTCTGTAACAGATCTTTCAATCTGTCATTTCATTTCTCTACAGAAGTTCATGTGGTTGCTTATTAACAGATAATTATTTTTTATTGATAATTCAATTGAAAATTTGTTTCCCCCCTTCCCGGTGCGTTGTTTTTTCGCCCTCTACATTTAAGTTCTAGGTTCAGATTTCTGCGTACTCGACTTTGATCATCTGTACTAAAAGTTAAATTGGAATTCCGATGATTTAATTGCTATGTATATCTGTCTAACTAGTTGTACCGAGTGTGATTTCTGTCTATGGATTTCTGGAATTCGATCGTTGGGATCGGATTTTAGTTTTCTTTCCCCTTCTTTTCCCTCACGACAATGTTCCATAAATTTCTTTGGGTCCATTTCTTTTTTCAAGGTTTAACTTTCCTTTTTTGAATTGGAATTGAATCTTATGGGTTTATCTTTGACATTGGTCTTTTACTTGATTGAACGCTGTTCAGGAGAAGATGAAGGCAGTTGTAGAAGCTTTACTGGTGCTTTTGCTTCTTGGGGCTCAGGATGTATTTGGTTCAACTTCGCTGTCCACTTATCCTGCATTTCTCTGGTTTCCCCAAACCTATGAGTATGACTTCTTCGATATATCTGTTTTTTTTGGTTATTATTGAACACATGAGGAAGATCGATTCTCGTTATTAGAGTTGCTTTTTAAAGGGAGGGGGGGGGATGTTCACTTGCGTGATTAGGGATCTATGTTCTTTACCGTGTGAATTCCTGATCACTGATAATGAACATAACTTCTGCCTTGGATGCTATGGTGGATCTGGCCATAAGAATTCCACTCTTGGGGACTGGTAGCCATGCTTTATCGAGTGGTTATCCTATTGGCTTAGTGCTTTAGCATGCCTATTGTGATAATTCTGGTTCCTCTTCATGCAAGGTTTACTTGCATATATTTGTTCGGGGTTTTTGTTTATGGTGGAGATTGTGCTAAGCTGATTGTTATGTTGTGGATCTTTAATTTCTTATATGTTTAGGCTGACTCTTAAGGATGGTTTTGTGAACCATTAATACTTGTTGTGGAGTGGAAGCATTTAGGCTCCACCTTTGAATGCTTGGACATGGCTTTCAATGCACTGAGGCGAGTCTAGGTGATAGGGGGACACCTTGTTGCCTAGGCAGGCACCTAGGTGTTGCCTAGGTGATGGGATCTTTTTGGATAGAAACCATGAATCCTAATGGTAATTCTCTAGGTTCAGTGGAAAGCAGCAACTATCTTTCACTATTAATTGTCTATAATCTTCATAAAAAAATGCATAAACCTTTAACATAGAAAATCAACATAATCATGAAAAAATGGAAGAAAGAAAAGAATTTTCAGAAAATAGGGGGGCTAAGCCTTTATTTTTGTCCTAGGAAAAGATGGAAAGTAAAGAAAGGATGAAAGAAGAAGAAGGAAATCAATATGTGATGATTGGACAAAATTTTGAGTTCCTTCATGCTTATTAGTACAAAGAAACATCTTGATTGAACCCTAACAATCAAATTTGGAGGGTTCAAGACAGTAGACATCTTGATTGAACCCTAACAAATAAGAAAAACAATACAAAAGAAACTAGTATTTTTAACTCAAATGGAATAATTTTGTTTAATAATGTCTGCTTTATTATTATAGCCTCAAAAAGTTAAGACTATAAAACTATCCAACAGCACTGTGTAAAAAATATCTTGGCAATTAAGTGAGGCAACTCTCCATGAGCACCTTATTACATAGGCATCATTCTACATGTTAAGCTACCGTGGCATTACCTAATTGTCATAGTTAGGTACTATTATCATAAAGGTAATCTCTATTTTATATGATAGTGGGTTGTTCTTGTATCATTTCGTGTAGTAATAGCAGACATGCCCTCGTTGGGTTATTTGGTTTTTCATTTGATTGATAGCAGCCAAGGTTTGAAGTATCGATACAATACGAGTTTTGGCCGTATCGTGTCAGTACATAAAAACGGCCAAAACACTTTTTTTTTTTTCAAACTTTGGTTTTTTGGAAAGATTATAGGCTGTTTTTTATTATTAAAAGGCATTTCGAACTGTATCGTTTGTAAAAGATACGATATGGTACGCCCGATACAGGACGTATCGTATCGATACTTTGAACCATGATAGCAGCATGCTTGTTTTTTATTGGATGGTTGCAAGAAATTGTTGTGACTATGTGAACTTATGAAAACCAAATCACCCAAGCATTCACTCATTAGGTGATTTGGTTTATCCTTTGGCTTATAGCATGCTTGGGATTTTTTAGAGGCCACAAGAAAGCGTTATGATTATGTGAACTCATCTCTCCACATGTTTGACTACGTTTGTGTTTCTTGATATTCCTAGAGGTAGTCTCCATTTTATCATATGATAGTGGGTAGTTCATGTATCACTTGGGCTAGCAACAACAAGCATGCACTCATGGAGTAATTTTGCCTTTCATTTGATTGATAGAATGTCTATGTTTTATTAGAGGGTCATAAGAAAGTGTGTAACTATGTGAATTCATCAAAATCAAATCACCCAAGCATGCACTCATTAGGTGATTTGGTTTTTCTTTTGATTTATAGCATGCTGGTGTTTTATTATAAGGCCGCAAGAAAGTATTGTGACCATGTGAACACATCACAACACATGTTAGTCTACCTTGGCATTTCTTGATTGTCATAGTAAGGTAGTAGACAATAGAGGTAATCCCTATCTTTTCATATCTTAGTAGGTTATTGTTGTATCATTTGTGGTAGAAAAAGGCATGTATTCATTGGGTGGTTTGATTTTTAATTTGAAAACATGTGAATTCATTGAAACTAAATCACCTAGGCATGGGCTCATTTAGTGATTTGGTTTTTCATTTAATTGATAGCATGCTTGTGCTTCATTGTGGGGGGGGGGGTCACATGAAAGTGTTGTAGTCGTGTGAACTCATTGTTCAACATGTTGGGCTACCTTGGTATTTTTAAGTTGTCATAGTAAGGTAGTAGACCCTAGAGGCAATCACTATTTTTTCATGCATTAGTGGGCTGTTAATAGTGTTGTAAAGTGGGCTGGCACAACCTAGCATGACTTGGGCCGTGCCAAGTCCGACCTGGTCATTGTAGAAAGTGGGCCATGCCAGGCTTAGTCCAAACCCTAGTGCCGTGTTGGGCTTGGGTTTTGAGGCCTGCAAACCGACATGACACGAAAAAGTGGGTTGTGCCAGCACGACCCACAACCCAAGCACAACACGATCGGTGATTTAAAAGGCGCGCCTAGGCTCATAGGCGAGGCACATTTTAGGGCAGGTGCCTCGCCCAAGTCCTAGGCGCAACCCATTCAAGAATCCCCTATTTGGTAATGTTGTCCATTCATTCATCCTAATAAAATATCTTCTTAAAAGCAATTAAACTATAAAATTATTATTTTTTGTGTGAAAATAAGAAGTTAAGACCCTAACATGGACTTGTTTGGGCTTGCCTCGAGGGGCATGGCACAAAGGCGGCTCGTAGAATTAGGAAGGTAATATGTCACATTAGCTACTTGATGCAATTGAGAAAAAAAAAGAGATTGTGGGTTTTATATGCTTGAAAATGTTTTATATGTTTGATTTCATTTTTAAATTCTCATTTGAATATGCTTTACATATTATATTTATGTATTTTAATTTTAGATAANATGCTTGAAAATGTTTTATATGTTTGATTTCATTTTTAAATTCTCATTTGAATATGCTTTACATATTATATTTATGTATTTTAATTTTAGATAATAGGTTTTTTAAACATTTATTTTAAAACTTAAGTTTATATTTTTATTAATATTATGTTTTATAACTTTTCGATTTTTTTTGCAATTCTTTTCGAATTTTTAGCTTTTTTTTTTTTAAATTGTGCACCTTGCCTCAAAAAGGCGTGTGCCTCACCTTGCACCTTGCGCCTTGCGCTTTTAAAACACTGAGCACGACCCGTGTGCTAGCCTTCCACAACTTACATATATTAATATATTATTTATATCAAGGTTCTAAATATCGATACACTGGTAGGGGCGTATCGGGCAATATCGGTCCTTTTTTTACTTTTTTTTTTTATTTTGTTTTTCAAAACCGGTTCAGGGGGGCAGTTTAAGGCTCCTCCACCCTCAGAACCGATCAGAACACGATACACCCTTTGTAGGGGCATATTTGGGGTGCTCCCGATACGATACATATCGGGCGATACGTGTCGATACTTTGAACCTTGATTTATATATTTAATAATATGTATTTATACATATATATATAATAGTTGTGTATAATAATATATACATATATGTATATAAATATTTATTTTCAATTTTATTATACTGTTTTATTCCTATTTTATTGTATTTTTTCAATTTTATTTTATTATTTCATATATAAACAATTGTATACATCAAAATTCACATGGAATAAAATTTTAAGATTTTGTTTTATAATTTCTTGTTTGTCTTGTTAATTTATTTATTTTTGAAGATAAATAAAGAAGAAAATATTTATTTTATCTTGTTAATTATTTTTAGCTTATTTTTTTTTCAAATTTTCTAAAAAAAATCGTGCCACCCACGGCTTGGCCCAACCCGGTCCAGCTTCCCTTTCAAGGGGTTCCGGGGCAGGTAGGTACAGCCCACCCAGGCCCGCGTGCTGGCACGGGATAACCTGCTACAGTGTAGGTGGCCCGCTCATTTGGGGTAACAACAATAGGATGTACAAAAGCTTTAGCAAGACTATCTACAGACTATTAAGCTCTCAGAAAGGTCTTTGGAGATTTGACATTTTCTTAAAAGAATTTATTTTAGTACGAGTCAAACTGAATAGTTTATTTTAGTAATGTTTGTTTTAATATTATAATCTCAAAAAAGTTAAGAATATAAAAGTATTCAAGAGAACCCTTTAGAAATACCTTAGCAATTAAGCGAGGATACCTTCCATGAGCACCTTATCGCTTAGGCATTGCCTTAACAACAATGACTAGAGGTAGTCTCTTCTTTCATATGATATCAGATTTTTCTTGTATCATCTGGGGTCACAAAGACAGACATGTTCTCAATGAGAGGTTTGGTTTTTCATTTGAGCATAATCGTGTTTGATTATTGAGTCACAAGGGAGTGTTGTGACGATGTGAAATCATGATTCTATATGTTAAGCTATCTTGGTATTACCTGATTGGTCATTGTTAAGTAGTATATTATTGAGGTAATCTCTATTTTCTTCATATGACAATGGGTTGTTCTTGTGTCATTTCGCGTAACCATAGCAGATATGCCTTCATTGGGTTATTTGATTTTTCATTTGATTGATAGCAGTATGTCTGTGATTTATTGGACAGTTGGAAGAAATTGTTGTGATTATATGAACTCATCAAAGCAAAATAATTTAGGATTGCATTCATTGGGTGGTTTAGTTTATCCTTTGAGTTATAGCATGCCCACGTTTTTTTCAATGGCCATAAGAAAGTGTGATGATTATGTAAACTCATTGCTCCACATATTAGGCTACCTTTGTATTTCTTGATATTCCTAATAAGGTAGTGAACCCTAGAACTAGTCTCTATTTTTTCATATGATAACAGTTAGTTCATGCATCACTTGAGGTAGCAACAATAGGCATGCACTCATTGGGTGTTTTGGTATTTCATTTGACTGATGGAATGTTTGTGTTTTATTCAAAGATCACAATGTTTTGTGACCATGTTAATTAATTGAATCCAAATCACCCAGCCATAACAAGATGATCTTGTTTTAATTTTGATTATTAGCATGCTTGTGACTTATTGGAGGGTCACAAGAAGGTGTTGCGTCCAAGTAAGCTCTTCAAAATCAAATTACCCAAGCATGCACTCACTAGGTGATTTGGTTTTTCTTTTGATTGATAGCTTGGAGAGTCACAAGAAAGTATTATGACCATGTCAATACATCACAACATATATTGGGCTATCTTGGCAATTCTTGATTGTCATAGTAAGATAGTAGACCTTAGAGATAATCTTAGACCTGGCAAAAAGTTGACCCAACCCGCGAACCCGACCCAACCCAACCCGAAAAAACAGGGTTAGGGACTCGTGTCTAGCTACCCGAATGTGAAAAATGACCTGACCTGACCACAAAAAAAAGGGTTGGGTCATGGGTTAACTCGCTGACTCGATTGTCAAGTCTAATTGGGATTATTTATGCATTGTTAGAAGTTTCCATTCTTTAATTTTTTCTATTTAGTCTTTACTTTTTATTGTTTACTCTTTAAATTGTTAAATGTTCAAGCTTTTTATTTTATATTTGGAATTTTAAGGTTAATTCTTTTAATTTTGACATTTTTCATGTAACTTTTTATTTTTTTATTTTTTTAAATTTCAATTATTTTTTGGGATGACCCGAATTAACCCATGGGTCAACCCTAACCTGAACATTTAGGGTTAGGGTCTAGCATTTGACAACCCAACCCGAAATCAACCCAAAGTACCTTGACCCAACCCGAACCCGAACCCGACCCACCCAACCCAATTGCCAGGTCTAGATAATCTCTATTTTTTCATATGTTAGCAGGCTGTTTTTGTATCATTTGGGGTAGGGAAAAGGCATGCACTCATTGGAATTCAGTTCTATGACAAACTGATTTACATAGGTAATGAATCAGCACTATACAAAAAAATTCCTATCCACTTCTGGTTTAGCTTAGGCATCTTCCATCAAATTCAAAACCCTTGGAATCCATCTAAAAGAGCAGTTCAAAGAAGCTGAAGTGTCACAAATCTTATAAATAAGGTGAGCCAATATCCAAGGGCCAGGTTCCACGCTGGAGGTCCAAGCTGCCCCAACCATTAGCATTCCTAGAATTGCCTTCCACAGCAAGAGTATCCAATAAGGACTTAGCAGCCCTCAAACCAATCAGCAGAGCTCTAACTTCGGCCTCAGAAGCATCTGTTATACCAAGAGGCCTGCTGTAAGCCCAAACCATACTACCAGCCACATTGAGAATAAGGTCACCAATAACAGCTGCTCCTCTACTGAGTGGACGGCACTAATGTAGGTCCTGAACATATGAGTTCAAGAAAGCGACCAAATTCCTATCAAGATCATCATGGTTGCCCCTTTGAACTGCTTGTAAGAAAGCATCCAGGAGAATATCTGGTGCAAAATTCTGTCTTTAAGGATGTCCAAGGAGAAGACTTGTTCTCAATAGTTCTTCTATTTATGCTCCTCCCAACTGCGCCACATGACAACATGGGAGATGATAGCCTTCCAAAAGATTTTTCCCCTAGGACTAAGCTTGCAAGAAGGCCATTGGAGGAGAAAATCAGAAACAGAGTTGGGAGGAGCCCAATGGAAGATATCACCATGAAGCATGTCTAGGAAGAATTGCCACAAGGATCTAACAACCATGTAGTTGATAAGGAGGTGACCAATGGAATCACCATCCTTCATGCACATGGTGCAAATTAGAGGAGACACATAAAGCTGGCCAGATCCTTTCTTTTAAATGATGTTGCGGTATCGCCTGTATGGGAGACTTCATTGAGGGGTAGCAAGAGAGGACATCTCAAGGGATTCAGAATAAGAGCTCTCTTGAAGTGGAGATTAAAGGAAAAGTCAAAAGGTCCTCTCTAGACAGGACAGAAGAGACTGGAAGATCCGTAATCAAAACTAGCTGGAACAATCTGGAGTAGGTGAGACATAAAGGGTGATGACTGCAGCAAGTATCAGTCCAGATTCCAGAACTTGATGAGATTATCATCCCCAACACAAGATCTCAAAAAAGGAGAGAAAAAAGAGAAGGTGGTAATTCCTTTCCAAGGATTACGGGAGGAGAATCTGTTCAGGAGTGAGTTGCTGGGTAACCAGTTGTAGCCAGTCAGACACTTAAGTTCTTTCAGCCACATCGAGATTCATATTTCATTGAATATTTTACTATTTGCATTGTGTTGGAATATTTGAAAGAAGGTAATTGTTGTATCTATAGTGGGAAGAGCAACCATGTGGAAAATTGTTGAAGCTTAGGGGTATCAATTTCCTGTCTTCCAGACCATGAGATAGACAAATGTTATATTCAATTCTTTATGGTGCATTGAAATTCTTTGTCTTTAGCCATGGTTGTCTGTACTTGTATCTTTTCTTTTTTCTGTTGGATAGGTGATACATAGGTTTCTTATCCTTTTCATGCTGTTGATATGGCATAACTTTACCCCCCCC